TGTTTGCCAGGCCCGAACTGCTCCAATGGTATCATTGTCGACTATTCAACGCGCTACAGCCACATCTATACATCCTGTGGTACTGTCTACCATCTCAGGGCGCTTGTCTGAGGCGGGGTTATCCTCACAGAGGCCTTTAAGATGTTTCCCTTTGACTCCACAACATTGGCGGAGTCACCTAGAGTGATGTTGCACCAGATCATCATGGCTGCCATTGTATAGTGTTCAGTGATGAATCCCTCTTGAAGCAGATGACCACCGTGTTCGTGTCTGGAGAGGATGGGGCCAGCGGTCCCAATGAGCCTTCGTTTTACGACTTGATTTATCGGATAAAACTGTTATAGATTGTAGCTGAAAAGGAAAAGCCTCTCAAAGTCATCATTAAAAATCTTCCTGATAAAGTTACTGAAGAAGCGATTTACGATGATCTCGTAAGAAGGAAATTTCCAGTCCTTAAGGTCAAGCAGTTTTGCCGGAGCAAAAAATATAACTCTGAGAAATTGCCAATATGGCTTATTGAACTTAAAAGAAACCAAGAAGGCTACGCAATACATCAGCTGAACTGCATGTTCAGCGTGAGCATAAAGATTGAAAAGTACAGCCCCAGGAAACGACCGATGCAATGTTTTAGATGTCAGGAGTAGGGGCACTCCCAGAACCTATGCACTAATGAAATTAGATGCTGCAAATACAGAGATAACCATCGCAGTAACACTTGCCCTAAGAAGCAGGACGGAACTCCCACATGTTTATTTTGCGGAAAAAAATCATGTATCCAGTTATCATGGGTGCGAAGTGTATAAGAAAAAATTTGAAAGGAAACCAGCCCCCGCAAGACGACGGAATTTACTTTCAAGAGTGATGACTTTCCAAACCCTACTAAAAATCCAGAAAGAAATTTCCCTCCGCCTCAGAAAGCCTCATACATGAGAAACTAAAGAGTAAAATTAATCAAGTCCCTGCAGATACTAGTGATGCTATTAACTGGATATGAGATGATAAGGTTCAAGAATTTCTGGGAAAAATCATAAACCTCATTCAAAATATCAAGAAAGCAAAAACTACTGCGGAGAAACTTTCATGTGGATTTAAAGCTGCAATGTACCTTAAAGATTGCTGAAGAAGACTTTTAAGGACCTTACATCAACAGAGATGCAGTAATATTAGGTCTTACTATTTTTTTCTTCACATTCTACACTTATTCTAAGTTGCAGTTTTCTGGTTTTCAAGCAGCATCGATTGGGGTCAGTTTCAGGGAGGGTGACCTCCCATGTGACTGGTTAGAACGAATGAGCAGTTAGAAGCTAACGAAAGGACTTTTACGACTAAGCACAGGACTTTGTTTGCACCAGCTCGATGGCTTTTGCCGCTAGTAGCAATTTATCATTTATTATGCTACTTTTTCTATCTTACAGCTTTCCAGAACTAAAATTTATGTAACTGATGTTGATATGTTTATTATGATTTTTGTTGTTTACACACTTTTGTTCTAGGAATTTACTGGTTACTTCATCTCACATCTTTAGAAGCTACCAAATGTTCTACAAGGGGTAAGGCCTTCGGCCTAGGTACCCTGGTATCCTAAACACCATTCTACTGGGGAGGTTTTACAAAGGCATACTTGCCAACCTATGACACTCAAAAATCAGGAGATTTTTTTAAGAAATCGGGAGATTTTTCACGTTAAAAAGACTTTTTAAATGAGGAAAATATAGCTTTTAATAATGAATTAACTTTAAATATTAAACTAATTCTTAAATGCAAGCAACACAAAAATACCTTACACATAAAAAACATTTTTATTACTTGCATCGTTTAAGAAAACAAACAAAAAAAAAAAAAAAAAAAAAAAACCTTTAATCAGTTTTTGTACAAATGGTATAAACAGTGGCAGATTTTGCTTTCTTTAAGAAAGAAACTTCCTAATTTTGTTCATAGCAATTGCCACGTAGGCCTGCTTTCACTAATAAAAGTTTTCTAATCTGTCATCACTAATATTAGATCTAAATTTAGTCCTCGTTTTCGCAACAACACTGAAAATCCTCTCGCGCTCTGCATTACTATAGGGAACTGTCAAGATGGCCAACATAATTCTAGACAGTTCTCTATATTTTAAAATTCCATCATCATCTTTCAGTTTTCCAATTAAACTCCACTGGGTGTCAATCCTAGCTGATTTTATAACTTCATCCAAGTTTTCTAATTGTAAACTGCTATTATGCAGCTGTTGGACCTGTTTCAATTTTTCCTCCTTTCAAGAATTAAATAAATATCAACAATGTGTTTCATCCACATTTATTGGTAAAGAAGCTACTCCTTTTTCAGCTGCTAAATTTAAGAGGTGACAGGTGCATCTCATAATCTGCAAATCTGAATTTTCCTTTCTGAAGATGCCTGCAACACCAGTCTTCAAGCCTACCAATACTGGTGCATAATCGGCACCTAGTGCTAAGCAATTATCCAGAGAGACTGCATTTTCTTTTAAAGTTTTAATAATTAGCTATGCTATATTAAAGCCTGTCAAATGTCCTTCCAAAGTGGGGACAGAAAGTAAACTGCACTCAATTTCTGAAGACTCTGGATTAAAAAAAGAAACAACAAAAGGATACAGTTTTGAATCGGTATTATTGCTTCCATCCATAGAGAGGCAGAACGGAGATGTTTTAATGCGATCAATAACTGAAGATTTCTTTTTCAAATCCATTTCTTTAACAATTGCACCTCTTTTGGTTCTTGCACTTAAGTATTTCTTAGCGATTTCACTATCGGGAAACATTTTTCTAAATAAAGCTGCAGCGTGATCCGATGCATTCAGTGGCAGGTTGTGCTCCAGTAAAAAGGCAGAGAACAGACATTCTGCATTAATAACTTTTTGGTTCTTTGTTTCCGAAGAAAAACTTAATTTTTCGTTTTTTTTTTTTTTTTTTTTTTTTTTTTCCCCAAAACAGCTCATGTTGCCCTTGTGTTTTTGTGTACGCAAATGTTTGAGAACATCCGCCCTCCACCATGCGAAATCGAAAAATCTCAATGACAGGTGGTACACATCGCAAATTTATTACATTTCCTTGAGGAAATAATGGAAGGAAAGTCAACTGTGTACGATTTTTGAAACGTACACGAGTATTTCACCTTTCTCGCAGACATAACAAAAGATGATAATTTCTAAAACTATTTCCCGAAGGCACGTGTACTCACACAACTCAGGACAAAATGACCGAAATAACTAAAGAACATCCAAATAACAGCTTGTTTTGTCCTCATTGGCTAATATATGCCAGATGACACGCAGTGGAGCATGATGCCCATTGGAGAACTGGAGAAGGACATTTCTGGATACGTCATACCTGCCAACCTCTAAAGATAAAAATTCAGATTTCTCCAAAATTCAGAAGAACACGAAGAATTAATATCATGCTTTGATATTAACAAAATAACAATTTATAAAAATAGAAAAAAGAAAATTGTACTTACATTAGTAAATCTCAATTAAGTAGTAACTAAAAAATTTATTAGGAAACATAAAACAAGAGCTTAATGTTACACCAAAAAAAATTATTGCAATGAATTTAGAGTGCATTTTTTGGCTTTAGCCAAAAATTCTTTGGAAATTTATAGTTATTTCCTTTGAAAGATTCTTTAATTGTTGGAAATTCGGCTTTGTAGGCAGGCCGAAAATATTGAGAATACGTTTTTTTTTAAACTCATTTCGTAACAACGAAGTTAAGAAAATTCGTAGCACGTGCAAACAAAAAACAAACAGAATGCGACAATCCACGCTCGCTGAGTAATTCCCTTGCTGCTGAAGCGAACGCGAAAAAAATAATCTGGCGCCCACAAAGAAAAGAGTGGGAGAAACAAGTTCAGCACATTGGATTGGCTGGTTAAGCGGCGAGTTGGGAGAACCCGCAGGTTACTGGATTCGAAGTAGTCGGTACTTGGCGGTAAAACACAATGCAATTGGCGAAAATTGCTAAATTGGCGAAACATTTTTCAATTTCGACAAAAATCACTAAAAACACTTGAGAAAGGAAAAAAAATCGTAAAAAATGGATTACGATCGTAAAATCGTAAAGACAAACGCATTTTCGTAAAAATACGAAAAATTAGTAAAAGTTGGCAGGTATGGGATACGTATATGCTCTCATTCACAAAGCAGAAGTTATCTAATTCGCAAGGTTTTGTTTTAGATATAATCTAGAGAAAATTCCTTTGCTTGGGACGTCCAAAATCACTTTTTTTTGTTCATATAACAAAGTATAAAGCCAAGTTCCATAAAAATCGTGAGAAATTTTAAGAATAAGAAAAAGTCGGGAGACATATATTGTAAATCGTGTTGGCGGGAGAGCAGTCGAAAATCGGGAAAGTTGGCAAGTCTGCAAAGGCATACAACCGTAACCACTAGTGTTATGGTGTGGGGTACTATTTCTTATGACAGCAGATCATCTTTAACAGCTCAATGATATGTTGATACCATCCTGCGGCTGATTGCATTACCCTTCATGGCATGTCATCCTGGGGCCATTTTCCAACAAGATAATGCCAAGCGACATACCTACCGCTCTGGACTGTCTCTGTGCGGTTGATACTCTTCCTTGGCCAGCAAGGTCACCAGACCTTTCACCAATTGAGCATTTCTGGGATATGGTAGGCTGCCAGACACGGGCACCACAAAATATCGCAGATGTGGGACGAAAACTGATGAATGCCTGGCAGGATGACATTAGGAACCTCTACCACTCCTTGCCTCGACGAACTCCAGCATGCATTGCTGCCAGAGGCAGTTCGACCAATTACTAATTTGAGCACTCAATGGGTGATCGTGAATAGGTACTATGTATGACCTTGATTTTTTATCATTTTATTATCTGTGTATGAGCTATACACATATTAAATTTCATCAAAAACAACCACTTCCTTCATGGTGCTTCGATTTTTTTTTTGCAAAAGAGTGTATATTAAAAAAATTGCTTATTTTGTGAAATAATATTTGAAAGCACTAATGAAATTATTCTTAAGGTTTAATTGACAAAATTCATTAATAAAAAATACAATAGAGATTATTTACAGGAAGTAACAAAATTTAAAGTGAAGACTGAGTGTGGTAAATCTCTAAGCACGGAGTCCTATATTGCATGATCCACAAGCATAAAATATTGCTTTTTTCTTTGTTTTACCACAGTTCATTCACCTTTTTGGGGTTTCCTCACTCTTTTCGTATATACAGAGGGTACGAAAATTGGATACATGCTGATATAGACCTAACAGTAAACCATTTTACTTCTCAATAACTTCCATAGTTCTCGAAAGTTGACTCATTCAGTTTCATTTTAAATTGGAGAAATGGCATTTTAATGCCATATTTTTGGTAAAAAGGAATGTTGGAGTTATATATTATCATTTTCATCAGTCCCAAAAGCAATTTTTTGTACCATTTTACTAATTTTCAAGAACATGAATAGTGTTCTCATTTTGAATAGTGTTCTCATTCCACACCACCCTCATTTTTGTTGTAATCTATAATACATTTAGGTTTTAAAATGTTCTCTCCAGTAACTCTATCTATTCTGTCAGATTTAGCCATTTTTTGTTAGCATAAAAAGACTTTTTTTTTAAGGGAATGATGATCATGTTATCTTGCTGCATTTGCAATGAACTCATCCTTTCCTAGTTTTCTTCCTGAAAAGTCATTGGGCTTTCTTTCTTATGTTTTTAATACTGTTCCAAAGTATTCCACAAGTGACGGGACATTGAAGAAATGATCCAAATATAAATTACACCCTTTCTCATGTAAATGGCTCACCAATGTTTACACTACTTTTTCTCATTAATACCCACTGTTGCTTAACATTTCTTTCCCACAATAAATTATTAAATTCCATACATAACCAGAAGCAAAAGGCTTTCATCGATGCAAATATTTTCTTCAGGTGTGTAGCTTCTTTTAAATTTTCTATGATTAGTTCTAGTTTTACCAAATTTTTAGCACTCTATCTGAGGTGAAATGCAAAACTTTTAAATGTTTAGGAACATATCTCTACGCATGATTTTATTGAAAAATGAAGTAGCAAAGCTTTCATTTGCAGTGAAATATATTTTCGAATTAAGACTTCTTGATAATGCCATCAGTATTATCATTGCAAGAAACACTTTTATATTCTCGGTACATACATTTAAAAATATGGCTGGCTTAAAAGTTGACAGAGCACTTCTTTGAGCAAAACTCTTTCTTTCTTCAAGAATCAAATTATTAGATCATCATCAAAGAAGATATTAAAGAAATCAATTTCTTGCTCAGCATTCACTATAAAATTTGTTCCCAGTGTTCCAATAAATATATGAGGATGTAATTCCTCAAATGCTAGAGTCCAACATTAAGTATAGATTTAACGGGGAAGCTGAAAAGATGTACTCAGTGAGCCCTATCTCTGACAAAATGTCTGTATCAGAATCACTAGAAATATAACTTTCTAATCCTTTAGAAAATGAATCATTATGCTTATCTATGTCATTAATCGACTCATTTACCATGGAAGTATATTCTTCCTCTTATAAATAATAACACTTCTCACCATAATTAACTGGAAACAAAGTTTTTTGAAATAAAAAGGAAGGTACCAGAAATATAAAAGCAATGCAAAGTGTAACAGAACCCTAGACAGTAGTGGAAAAAAGAATAAAAAAAGGATTCGGATTAATATGAGAAGCGCAAATGCTTCTAGTATAACATGGCGAGTTAAAGAACAAAGCTCTGTTTACATTACACTTTCTCTCCTCCCTAGCAACAGCTGATGAGTAAAATAGCGAAGTCTAACAGAAGATATATACAAAGTGAAGGTCAGTATCATAAAACTACATTCAGTTAAAAAGTAATGGACACAGGGTGCAATCTAGTGGTCTTTAATAAACATTCCAGCTTTAAGTCCAAATACGCACTGCTTGTCCTTTGAATTCATTCTCGAGGAATGCATGGTTGGGATGCCATTTTGCATATATGAAACACCCAACCAGAAAGGAATAATTCCTTAGACTGCACTTCAAATCAAATAAGTTTTATAGATCCATTTTTGTTTTTTCCCTAATTTTCATGTTTACATTTTAGCTGAGATTGTGTCCTTTTTTTTTTTTTTTTTCCCCCAGTTTTACAGATTTGAAAGCTATTTTATTAATGTATAATGTAATTTTTCTCACAAATCTAACTTTGAAGTCTATGAACATGTGCTGTATATGAAAATCAGTGCCAATATTTTAGTTTTTAACCTTAACATTTATTTTTTTAAATTATTATACCAATGCCTGTCAGTCAGTACAATTTCTCCTTTAAACTTGCTATTTTTCAAACAGTAAAGTAATTTGTTTAGATGCAACCCTTTGACTATGAATTAAAAAAAAAAATACCCCATTTTCTATTCAAGTAAAGAAACTATGTCATTAAATAAGGTAAATTTAGCATTTGGGAATTTTTTGAAAAAAAGGTTTTCAAGCCAAAGGCTGGGCTACACATGTCCCACATATATCAATCGACTTACTATAAGCACACTATTATTCTGAAAAACTTTTTTACATTAAATAGATTTTACATCATATGGTACAGGGTAAAAGCATTCTTTACATAACCCAACATTACACATTAACAACTCATATTTGTTCTTTTCTCTATGTTCATTTGTGTACAATGAGCACAGTAGTGTCTTGATTTTCTAACTATTGGAAGATGATTACTAACATTCATGAGACTGTACATACTTTTTACCCCAGCAATAATTTTTTTACTTTTAGTGGGACATATATGTCCCATTAGTAGTCAAAGGGTTAAAAGACGAATTATCTCTATGTTTTACAAGTATAACAGTGCAACTGATAATTAAATATGTAAATTAACTTTTTTGTATCAAGAATACATGCTATTAATACATTGAAATGATGAATTTTCAGAATGAAATAAAAATGTAAAATGAATTGTCAGATTCACGGGTGAAAAGAAGTTATGCTTTACAAAAAATGGATGTTTTCTCTAGCTTATTGGGTAAAAAGAACTCTTATTTTACAATTACACAATTATAAAAGCTGATCTTTCTCTAATGATATGCGACATAATAAGGTATCTGAATGCAAAAGTATGGCAGTATATGTACAGCAAATTATAGCAAGCTTTTATATATACATTTAGTGGTTTGCATTTAATATACTAAATTCATACTTAAAATTATAGACCAAGCCATATTTAGTAGCAATGCTAAATTCAAAATATATAATAAATGTTTATTTTTTTAGCTTATCATCACAATTTGTCGAGTCTTCTGAACATTCATTTTCATCACTAACTGTAGACCAACCACCATCGTCAGACTGTGATAAGGCACAAGTATTATAGTCAGGACTCTGCAGTTTTTCACATGATTGATTTATGCTACAAACAGATGAATTTAACAATTCATTTTGTTCAGTCACATTGGAAATATGACCAGATGATAGTTTTGAGTCTGCTTGTAAATTTTCAGTGTTACACTCAGACTTCAAGACAGAAGAACTTTTTGTTTGCTCACTATGTATGATTTCAGAAAACTCCTCAGTGTTCTCATCTGCACCAGTAGGCACATTACCAGGCTGGGTACCACAAGCAGAATCTTTGATATCTTCATCACACAAATGAAGTTCAGTCAATACTTCACCTGCAAAATCGGTGCACTCATCACAATGTAATTTAGAAAGCGGTTTCTTATCAGGCACTGAGCTAGAAAATTCTGTGCTTTCTTCTGAATGGTCTTTCTGAGTAACTTTTGCTTCAGCATGCCCAGACAAAGTCTTAGATGTAGAACAATTTTCGGAATGTTCAACTTCAGCTGCAGGTCCTGTAGTAACATGTGTAGCAAGTAAACTATGACTTTCAGATACTGAAGACAATTCAATTGACAAAGTTGGAGATGCATTTTCATCTTTTTGAACAGTCAATTTATTTGCATACACAGTTTCATTGTTTGCGTGAATAAAATCTGAATCTTTAGAAGTTTCAGATCTGAATGTAGTGTTTTCTTCTAATGGCACACCTTTACTTCCTGACTCATTAAGATTTGTTTTGATACATTCATTATCATTCTGTATTGAACTTATCTCTCGCTCCTTTTTCACAACTTCCTGCTGGAAGTTTAGTGATTCTGCTGCATTAAGAGAAGCAGCACTGAAATTTTCTGTTAAATTATTAATGTCTTGTGTGCATGAGGAATCCACTTCAGCAGCAACATCATGCTCAATATTTGGATCAGGCAAATCTACAAATTTATTTTCAGGTTGATAATCATACTCTGTATCAAAAGCAATATTTTGAGCATCTGATGAATCCAAAGTTAATTTTTCATAATGCTGGTTGTCATCAGCCTCATCTTTATTTTTCTCAAAGAAAGCAGTTTCGTTATTCCAAGTTCCAGAATCAGACTGATCAATATTGGCCCATTCATCATCTGTATCAACAAGAGCATTTTGGGCTTTACAGTCATTAAGATTTCCTCGAGGGGAATGCATATCAGGAGTTGATTTTTCCAAATAATGTACATCACCATCAGTTCCAGCCTTATTTTTATTCAAGAAAGTAAGTTCTTCATTCCACATTCCAATATTAGATTGTTCAGTACTGGTCCATCCATCATCACAGGACTCACTCACATTATTCCACGATGCCTCATATGATGTAGATTCTTCCACATTAACAGTTTTATTACTGCCATCTTGCTTAAATTTAGAGCTTCTTTCATGACTGTTACGGTCCTCAAAACGAGAATACCCTGATCGTTCATTATGGGCTTTATACCTAGATTTACCATAACTATATGATTCAGAATTCCTCTTATCGGACTTTACGTCTTTCCCATAATATTTATCATTTTGAACTTCAGAAGTAAACCCAGGTTGCCACCTGTTTCTTTCGTTGAAGTTTTTTCTTCGGTAATTACCTTGTCTTACTGAATCTGATTCAGCTATTTCTTTAAAGCTTTCTCGAGTCGTATACCTATTTCCACGAGCATTATAGCTCCCACGTCCCCCACGTCCAGATTTCTGTCCATCAAATTTACTTTCCCTCTCTCTATATTGTGTTTGATCTCTAAAGCCAACATTACTTTTGCCTCTTGTGGGTAATTCATTATGCCATTCATTTTTAAAAGAATGATCACGTTTTCTGTCTTTATCGTGGAAATTTCCAGATTCATATTTTCCATGAAATTCTTTGTTAGGCTTATCATCAACCCATCTATTAGGTATAGATTTTACCCACTTTTCAACCCTGCTTTGTTTTTGCTGAACATCTGTTATTTCAACATCGTCCCATACAGAAGAATCAATGAATTTTGATGTTTTGGCAAGATTTACTTCAGGTTCTTGCTCAGAATCACTAACACTTGGAGATGAGGAACTAGCTGCATAAAGATGCTTTCTAAATACATTTGTTTCAACATAATCAGATTTATTTCTTGAATCAAACGGCCTAGTCTTTTGAGAAGATCTAAATGGTGGTGGTCTGGAAGGTCTAAAAGACCTTCCTCTTGATCTTCTGGAATTAGAGCTTGCTTCAGAACTGTAGTTGGATTCACCATATTTATAGTTATTATTGTTTCCATAGCTTTTCTTATCAGATGCCGAGTCTGATGCAAAGCGCCGCCCAATATCTCTATTTACATTTGACTGAGGTCTCCATGCATCATCTCTCCTGTCAAACTTCCTGTCTTTATAATCTACATAGATAATAAAAAGATTAAATTTCTACATAATTCACAAAGTAAAATTTAAAAAAATACAACCAAAAATATTTCTAGTAAAACATTTAGGTTAATTTTGACAACAATCTCATTTAAAGTAAACCCCTAAAATGAAAATATTGTTTTAAACCATATTGATCTTCACATTAGATGATTTACAGCCAATAGATAAACAACTCATTTCAAAGGCAAAACATTATGGTGATAGATCTAATATGAGCATCCTGCACCTGTTGCTAATCAGTTTTTTACCTAATGAAGTACGGATGCTGCCAAGATTTCTAATTTTGTCTGGTTTATTTGACTATGGCAAAGCATGCTACAGCTGTCTATCTAAGGGAAGATTCAGCCATCCCATTCGCCTACAATAAAACCATGTCAAACTACTAGGATTTAGCAATCTTTACCATTTGGCCACTGATGAGAAGAAAATTTTTTAAGTACCTAATACCAGCAAACTGAATTAGCAGTTCCAGCACACCCCACACAAATAATGGCTTGGTTTTTAAGATATCTGTAGTCTAAAATAATATGAAAAATCTATGCTTCATATTTTGTGAACCATTCTCAAATGATCTGAGGAGCATAGTAGGATGCATTTCCAGGCTGAAAATGTGTATTTATGAGGGAACAACACTTCTGAAAAATGAGAAATCTGGTCTGACATGTATGCACATAGTAAACAGCAAAATGTACTACACACATGTAAATGGACTCACGATTTTCTAATAAAACATAGATTGCCAATAAAACTGTTTTTTTTTTTTTTTTTTTTTTTTTTTTTTTTTTTTTTTTTTTTTTCCCCGCAGTGTACAGTTTGTGTGGCTTGGGGGCACTTCAAAATATAAGTGAACAGATATTCCTCTCATGAGATCGAATAGTAGAAGAAGAGAGGTGAGAGACTGCCAAATCTGTTCATGTAAATTGAGATGGAAATTCCCCTTTCTTATGGGTGTAATTTGGTTGCTGCCAGTAGTGAACCTTGGGCAACATTCTCAATAAGATATAAACACCAATTTATTAGTTCATAAATATTATGCAAAAATGATTTAGTTTTTATCAAAATCAGATATATGCTTAACAAACTGAACCACAATGTCAGACCAATACATTTCTAGTTCTTTTTCATGATCTAAGCTACAGGTGTGGTTCAGTATGTGCTAAACATGAAAACTTAACAAAATGCAGTTCATCATAATTTACAAAGAATAATTAAACTCCCCCAATAAAATCACAAATTTCTACTTTAATTCTAAATTACGGCATGTGACGAAAGGTAACTGCATAATTTTTAAGACATATGCAAGTTCGAGAATTTGATAACATTGGAGAAGTTCTTGTATACATTACTACAAAACTTAAACCTCATTATACAAAGTTATAGATACTAATGTGATGACTATACCTTCAATCAAACTGCATAGTTTAAATAAATATTTATTGTAATTCAGTCACCATCTGGATAATGTTACGGGCAGTAAGATTAAAAAGCTACATGAAAGCCTCACAGAACCAATGTGGAATTTGGGATCAGCATTATTGCCAGGTTTTGGACAATATTTCAAACTGAAGAAGGTCTCAGTCCCTCTGCAATTGTTCAAGATTGATATTAATGTAACCTGATATAATAAGCCAACTTTGAAGGTGCAAGAAAAAATATATGCCTCCATATGATAGCCTGAAACATAAGTTATGCAGGGTTACAATACTGAAGACCAACCATCTGTACAGGCCCACCAGCGGCTGAGCGGTAAAAGCCACGGAACACTGGTAGTTTAGTCTGGGGTTCGAGTCTCGGGGAACGCGCTGGCTGCATGGGCGTTTTCGTGGTTTTTCCCATGTGCAACATGGATACAAACAAGTCTCCGTTTGAAGGACCTCCACTGGGCATCCCTCCCCTTCTGTGTAGTGCATAAGAGCGGAGCACGTAATACACAAAGACAGTATGTGACGGCATCAAGATTAATGGATTTCTCAGCTACAATGGTACCATGATAGACCATTACTATAATAAAAAGATTACTGAATGCCATGTTTAATTATTTCATAATACTACTTGCAGCACTCTTTTTAATGGCTGTCATGTCTCACTTCTCTGAACCAAAACAGTGAGCAAACTCTCGGAGAGTTCACTCCTTAAATGCTGTATCTGGCTCACACACGGTCGACCAATTTGAATGATTTTGTCAGGCTCGTATGTCTTTTGCACTTCATAAAACAAACCAGCAAAAACTTTTCTGATTTTCAGTTTTGTTATGCTACTTTATATGCAGAAATGATCTCAGATGATTTCAGAAGTCCTGAAAATTTAACTTTACATTAACCACTTGCCTGATTATCCCCAGTTATCTCGGGTTTGTATATATTGCAGTTAATTATTATCCCGAGAAAACTCAGGCGAAGCAGAATTTGTTAGTACGATTTCTTTTATCACAGTTTTACTCGGTCTGGAGGAAATGAAAGGAAATATTCAGCTTTGATTAGCAGATTGCCAAATTTTGTTGGTTGTGCGGTTCTTTTGGAAGGACTGCTCGTGTGTTTCCCTATTGTATAGTATACGTTGGCTTGTGGATTAGTAATGTATAAAGAAGGATGCATGCGTTGGAAAAAATAAAATAATGGCGATGATGGAAGATAGCGAAAGCGATGACTTTTCAGATAGTGATTATGAAAAGGTGGTGAAAAAATCAAAAAAAAAATCAAATCCAACGAGACAGTGTACTCTGTGCTCCCGTGAAAGTGATTTCAGCGGTAAGCCAGTAAGAAAAGAGACCAGATACCAGTGTAGAATGTCAGGTATCACTCTGTGTTGTCCCTTGTTTCAAAAACGATCATACAAAGATTAATATTTAACTTTTTTCGGTTTGCCCGAGATAACTCGGGATAGTAAAATAATATTAAAAATAAATGCTTTTGCACCTTCAAAAAAATTAAAAATTCAACTTTAAATCTACATATTTTGATTTGTTTTGTTGTATTTAATAATAAAATAAAAAAATGTGATGATTTTTTGCAAGGGAAGCGGTTAACAACTACTTGTTCCAGAATGAGCAGAAAAAATTTTCTACAGCTTTTTTGCACTTACTTGTTATCTCACATATTTTATTTAAATAAACAGCATCTTTACAAAAAAAGATGATTTTAGCACTGAAAAATTTTAACAGACTTTCTTTTTCAGAACTCCAATGTTGGATCATGTATGCCATGTGTCAGGTTTTACTATATACAGAAAAATTGTTAAATAGAGAAAACATCATCATTGATCAGGTAGTATGCAATTGTATGTAAATAATATGACCATCTTGCATGTCAGTAGCAAAAATGATTTATATTGCACATGTAACTTTATAATGTAAATGCATGCACAAAAGCTTTCCAGCTAATCTTGTGCGTACAAAGCCAGCTAAAAATAAGCAGGAAATGTGTATAAGCTGTTAAATATTTTTAAGCAGCTAAAAAACTTAACTTCACAAAAAATATGCTAGTAATGATACCAATGGATTCAGAATTTTGTGAGCAATATTAAAAAAAAAAAAAAAAAAAAAGAGAGAGAGAGAGAGAGATTTTTGAAAGAATTTTGTGAAAAATACACTGGTGTGCAAAAATTAAGGACGAGACGGTTTTTTCAATATAACTTTGTACAAAAGCTTTCGAAATCAACACATTTAATACCGTAAGATCCCCAATACGCAAGGACATGAGTAATGTAAGCAACACTTACTAAAAGAGAAATCAGAGGGATAAAAAGAAGCTTTATTGAAAAAGTAGCATGGAGCACAATGCGACTGAAGGCCGAAACATCCCCGTTATGGGTGTCCAGCAAGAAACATCCGGTCTTTAATAGGGGATATGATCTCCCCTGACTGTTAGGCAGGTTTCACAGCATCTGCCCATGCTGAGAATGAGGGTGTCAATGAGTTGTTAAGGCATTGCTGCCCATTCGTCTTGCAGCGCCAATCGAAGCTCCAGAATCATTACTGGTGGTAAGGTACGAGCTGCCAAGCGTCTGCCTAGAAAACCCCATACATGCTTGATGGGATTGAGATCCGAAGATCGTGCCGGCAAATCCATACGTTCAATATCCTCACTCTCTAAGAGCTGTTCGGCAGCTACTGTGCGATGACATGGTGCATTGTCGTCCATGAAAAGGAACTGCGGACCCATAGCGCCTCTAAAAAGACGCACATATGAAAGAAGAATCTCGTTACAATAACGGGTCCCGCTGACTGAACCTGCGTCGAAGATGTGAAGGTCTGTACGACTACCAAGCATGATGCCTCCCCAAACGAGAACACCGCCACCTCCATACCTGTCCCTTTCAATGATGTTGGAGGGATGATTGCGGCCTCCCCGCTCTCTCCAGATGAGTATGCGATGAGAATTGCTACTCAGACTGAATCTGCTCTCATTTGTAAAGAGTACTCGTCCTCATTCATTGTCTCTCCAATTCCGGTGTTCCCTGCACCACAGAGAACGCCTTCTCCGATGAAACGTTAGAGGTACACACCGTACAGGGTGACGTGCAAACAGACCACCACCATGCAGTCTTCTGGCCATGGTAAAACGCGATATCGGTCGTCCAGCCGCCTGTGTCTAGCGATTTCTCCCGCTGTCTGCCGCCCGTTTCTTCTCGCCTGTAAGGCAATATACCGGTCATCTGCGGGTGTGGTTCCTCGTGGACGACCACTACTAAACCCCCGGATAGCTGTTCCTGTAGTTTGAAATTGTCTCCAAAGTCGTGAAATGATGCTGTGAGCAATTCAGAACTCTGCAGCCACACTTGTCACGCTGCGGCCTTCCTCCAACTTCCCAATGATTCGACCTTGGGTAAAAGCATCCAGATGTTGTCTAACAGATTGATTATTTGCCATTTCTCGCTGAGGCAGTAACTTGGTGTGATTTTAACTGCTATACGGCGTGCAATCTCTTTGCCAGAAATACTGATCTTACACCGACAACATGCTTTATACTACTCAGACACTCCCCCATCATTACGTCTACCTGCATATCTGCGCATGTGCTACCGTACATCACCTTACTTAATCTCCTGATTGGTCTTTCTGTCCGCTCTGCCTCTTCATTTAGCTGATATGCTAATTTTTCGACTTCGTCCTTAATTTTTGCACACCAGTGTATGCAAGAGTTGAATGGTTAACCCTTTGTTGCTCAGTATTCCACTACATGGAACACGCAACTTGAATCGCTTCTGAAACCGTTAAATTCAACCATAAATGGATAAAAATGCCTTTATAATATACTTCGAACTTCTCTTTTTAAATAGTAGATGACAGCATATCACAAGGAGACCCAGAATTTTCATTCATGATGTGTCATTTAAATCCACTTTTTTCCTAGTAAATTTCTATATTTGTTTTGTGATACAAAAAAATTTGTTTGAAAAAAAATTCAGTGTAATTTTGATGGCTGTTCTCTATATTATTTGTTATATATTTTATGACATTTTTCACACAAGAAGCATGCGCAGAATCGTTGAATAAAACAGGGTGTTCCATTAGTGGGAACACTGCGCCTTTAGCAATCTCATGCTGTTACGCATCAGATCATCTGAATCAGAGCATGAAGATAGCAGTGATACTGAGATATACATTTCTGAACCACTTGTGTAATCCGATGATATGTCGGATGAAACTCATTTATTTGATGAGAAGGTTGACAATCCATCTCACCCATGCGTTCTACACAGGCTAAAGTTTTTACTTGGAATTCTAAACATATTGTTGCACGGAACAGAAGGTGCACAAAACAAGTTTTGTGTTCAAAACCTGCAAAGTTGGTTTGTGCTTTTATCAATAAGATGTGACATGCTTTGAAAATTTCACGAAGCAGTGAAATCGAAAAATTTGTAAATATTTTTGTATATAGGACTTGTGCATATACATATATTTATCTCTTTTATCCATATATATACAAGAAAGTTGTGTATATGCAGAAAACCATATATACAGCTATAATACAGTGTTTTTTCATTAATATACATAAGCTTCTACTCATTTCCGTGCTTCACTGCAATGCTCGCTCAGTCGCACTTTTAAGAGCTCTGGTGGTGCAGTGTTCCACCTCATGGAACACCCACAGAATTGAAACAGTAAATGCAATTTTTACAAAATCTTACCTATATACTCCTTTAGGCCTAGATAGACTGCATAGAACTTTTCTTGTTGAAATACCGAATTTAAGGTATAGTGCACCACAAAGGGTTAAAGGTGTCTGTCAGTTCAAAAGACCTGCTTGCTCCCCACATCTGAGGGACATAATAGATGACACATACGAGATATTATAAAAACACCAGCTGCCAGTCTTTTAGTAGAACACAAACACAGATGTAAAGTACTAATGGAGCAATATGCACTAGAAGTTCTTAAATTACTTAATAATATGTGTGCGTTAGTATTATGATAGTTGCATCACAGTTTGAGTCACACAACCTCCATTTCAAGATGTTAAATTGCCTCAGTATTGGAAAGAACTCTTCATTCATTCACTACTTATGCCAAACACTCATGTATAACCTTCCTCTTAAGAGAATTGCTGCGGTAATGTTCATTATGACATTTTACTGATATTTCACTAAGATTTACCAATTACTCATACTTCAGTTTTCAAATGCTTTATTTTTTTTTAAATTAAGCAAACAACTACACAAATAGAAATTGAGAGTCTTTTTAAAACTAAAAAATAATAGTGTCTCCAAATCATAACTGAAGAATGTCATTATTATAACTTCCTTTCTAGTTGCTGTGAACACATATTTTTTCAAAAAGGAAAAAAAAATCATAATTCTAGATCTACACTATCACTTCTCTGGTCTGTTATTTTTCATGGCTGTTGGCTATTATCTTGCATTATGTATACATCAGGAAATAAACAGCTTGCCATATTTGATTCTATATATGCAGTTTTCTTTACACACGTAAAACAGTCATACAGCTTTAAGTTAAGCACACATGAAGTGCGAAACCACACAAAATTAAAATTTTCTTTCAATTTTGATTTAAAAAAAAAGAGCTAAGCCCAATACTTAAATAAGAATAAATGCATAAACTGAATTTTAAAAGAACTACACTCCCAAATAATTAATACTTCAAACTGGCATCTGTTGACAATTAAGAAAAATAAAAAAATTCATCTGCAATTTATTTATATACTGCTGAACACAAATCAGCTACAAAATTATACATTAATTTACACATCACATAAAAATCAATATAAAATGAATGTCCTTACCTTTCCTGTTTGATCTAGACTGTAAACCACGAGGATTTGATGAGTTCCAGTCTCTAATGAAAAAGAAATACGTGCAAAAACTTTTATCCTTAAATATCAGTATACTAATACAGTACTGACATTTCAGTATTTATAATGATTGCTATCAGCATGGCTTTTCACTTAGTACTTTACAATATACACAAAAAGCTTTAAAAGACAGCAACACAAATGATTTAAGCATGAATGCAGTTTATATTTCCCTGACAATTTAATACAGAATGACTACTTTAACCTTCCAGCAATCATGTAGGTCTCGTGGACTATGATCAATACTTGCTGCATTAATTTCATGAAAATTGTGGCAAAATTTTTTATTTTCTTGTAATCTATTCTTAGTTGCATACAGTTGTAATTGAAACTTTACTGTACATTTTCTAGCAATTAAAATTCCACCTTTTTGGGTAGAAAAACTGGACATTTGGTTTTTCCAAGTTGAAGCATAGTTTTCAATTGCTAATATTACCCAGGATAAGGCTAAATTTAACTATCTTGTTCCACAACTGGAACTCAAAAGTAGTTGAAAATATATGGGATATAATCCAAAGGGAATTAAAGATAAATATGAAACAGCAAAAGAGACTTTAAGTACTTTTAAAGAAAGCGAGGGGGAAAAGTATAAAATTGCTTACAGGAATTTCTCTTGGCAATATGAAACCAAGTCAATTACTGTCTAAGATGAAATCACTTGCTGGAACAAATATAATGTATAAAGTTCTGCAAATCTTGCAGCTTGGCAAATTGCCAAAATAGACAACTTATCGATAAGGGCAGATAAAATATTTGAAATAAACTCAACGACAGAAATCTATTCTACTGGTGCATACAATTTTGAAATGAATACTGTGCTTGATAAAATCTCTAACTTAGAAAAACAAACTTTGGATCTAAATGTTCACAGACAGTCTATGAACACTCTGGCTGTAATTCAAGCAAGGGTCTTAATCATTGAAGGAAGAAATATAATCCCAATGGATTATATTGATACTATCACTTTAAATTTGGTGATAAATGTTATGGTAATAAATGTAACAGCCCACGCTGCTGGAAGGCATCAGAAAACTCCAAACAGCAGAAGATTCAACATCAGGTTCTGCTGCAGATGAATAAAAGTTTGCCGAAAATACTAATTATTCATTACTGGTAAAATAGGCTGGTTTATGCTTTCTTGTGACTTATACATTATTCCGGCAACATCAAACTATAAAATATGTAATTCTTAATTATATGCTGCAAATGAAACAATAATACCCACTTAGGTTTCAAAATTTTAACTCTAGATTTAGGGCTGCATTGGCCATTCCAATTTCCTTTCGAAATCGCTAAAGTGGATCGAGCTAGTTCAGACACAGATATATTAAGCAAATTTAAATTGCTTATTGATATACATAACAGAAAGTTAATAGATGGCATCACTAATTTATTCAAAGTCATGTTATGTGCATAAAAGGTATGCATATCCATAAGCATGATTGATAAAAATACTAAATTTGCAAATTTGCTATTACAGTATCCCAATCTGACAAAACCAAACGATAATATACAGCACTATATCGCTACTAAAGTCCATCCTGTTTTTTAAAAGTTTGCCGATTAGATGGAAATAAACTAAAATTGGCTAAACAGGATTTCAAATTTATATTAGAAAATGACATAATTAGTACTTCAAAATCTCGATGGGCCAGTCCACTTCATTTAGTTTTCAAGAAGGAAAGAAGTTTTCGATCATGCAGGAACTATAGGCATTTAAATACACAAACAATTCCTGAATATTAGCCTATCCCCAGAATAGAGGATTTCCAACATATATTAAAATAAAAGAAAATATTTTCAAAGCTGACTGATTTAAAACTTACTTTCAGATTCCAATTACGGAAGAACATAAAAAGGACATGATAATAACACCATGTGGGCTATACGACTTTAAGGAATGCCCCATTTACGTTTCAACATTTCTTCAATGAAATGTTGTTCGGAGTCCGAACATCATAATCAGAACATTATCATCTCGCATATTTAGATTTCTCATATAAATTTGAATTTAGAAAGTTCTCATCAAAGCATGATTCCACCATTGTGTAAAAAATACATGCACATTTGTCTGTTGTAATTTCCCAGTATTTCAAGAGCTCACAAGTAAGTCTCAAGTTTGTCATAGAAGGATATAATTTTTAGCTGGATTATACAAAGATCATTAATTTAAACAACTCACTGACATATGCTTTTACCAAAATGTCATCTCTACCCAAAGAAGCTTTTAAACTATCTACAGCCTTTACATAATTTACTCAGGTGGTAGGAAACTGGAATTTGTTTTAAAAGCCATATCATAATCTTTATGAATATGTTCAAATTGACTCCAAAAAGGACATCCATTCTTTTAAATTGGTATCAAACTGTCTGAAGCAAACTTTTCTTTGAACTACTGGCTACTATAAACTTAGAACTACTAGTCTACTATAAAAATACCATATCATATTGTAAAACTTTCATCATATATAAACACTGCCTTTTTAAAATTTAAAATGTATTTTTGACAATCATACATATCCAATATGCATACCTGCCAACCTCTAAAGATAAAAATTCAGAAGAACATGAAGAATTAGTATCATGCTTTGATATTAAAAAAAAATAATTTATACAAATAGAAAAAAGAAAATTACTTACATTAGTAAATCTCAATTAAACTTACATTAGTAAATCTCAATTAAGTAGTAACTAAAAAATTTATTAGGAAACCTAAAACAGGAACTTAATGTTACACAAAAAAATTATTGCAATGAATTTAGAGTGCATTTTTTGGTTTTAGCCAAAAATTCATTGGAAAATTTCCTGTCATAACAATTAGTTTCCTCATAACATTTAGCAATTAAAATGTGTTGTAGAGATTTTGGTGAAATTGAAGAACGAAACATAATTTTGTTTTTCTTCACAACACTGAAAACTCTCTCGCACTCAGCATTACTGTGTGGAAGTACGAAAATAGCACATAAAACTCTTGCTAGTCTATCATATTTTGCTGTTCCATCAGCACTTTACACTTTCTTTCAGATAGAAAAACACATCAATCCAGGGTTGCCACTCAAACAGGAGAATGAAATTCCCTGACTTTTCCAGGTTTTCCAGGTGTGTTTTCAAGAAAATTCCAGTCTATCCGCGTAATGTACATTGGCTGTGCTAAGAGGTAAATTAATTATGGTATTACTTGTATTGTGTAGCAAATTCACTTAATTATTCAATAAATCCCAGAGGACATTTATTCTTAATTATTCTTGGTATACTTTGTTTGATAATTTTGTTTAGTTTTCCACTTAAGAAACTTAATAAAATTTAAGATATATATATATTGGATAACAAATGTATGTTTTATTTAATTATTACTCATGATCATCACCAGTTTAACATGAGGTTAATCCGGTCCTTATAAATCACAACGCAATGCTAAATAGTTAAGTTAGATTTTAGGTAAATTTAATTTGCGTGAGGTATGTTCTTAAAAGGCACCTTAACACTTGAAAACACAAATATAATTATAATAGTTGTTGCTTTCTCCACTGAAGATTGAGATTAGAATCTTCCCAATCTGGAATAAAATAAGGCTTTTTTTGCAGACATTCTGCAGCTAAACGAAAGAAAGAAATCTATTTTAATAAATTGAGGTATTTTATATTTATTTCGCAGCATACATAAGGAAAAAATATGTGCATTAAATTTCGTGATGGTATGTCATCATACTGCTATAATTAATTTCAGGATTATGCCAGAGAAAATTTCCTGAAATTTGGAAATATTATTTACTAATAATAAATAAATTTAGAGGGAAGAAGCAACAACATTAAATTATATGAATAACATAAAAATAATTACTTAAAAATTGAATTAGAATAATCAACGATATTTTAGGGAATATAGTTATATTACATGGCTAGCCTAGATGACTGATTACTATTTTTTTATTTTACTGCAAAGTGGCAAAGTATTTATTAAAAAGAAAAAAAAAAAAGGTTTAAAAAGATTTTGCGGTAAAATTCTAGTATACAGTAAGGCTTTGGCACGATTTTGAAAATTGTCGCCAAAACCAAAATGACCCGTTTACTGCGCATCAAGATGTCGCCAAATCCCATTATTATCTAACCAAAGAACGTCTACGTAAAGAAGAAAAGGTTCCATACAAGTAAAATGCTATTACGTCGCTAGAATGCGGAGGGAAAATTTGCCAAGGGATTTGGCGACGGAACCTGGCGGCCAGAATTTCCCTCTCCGCGAGGTGTACAGGAAATTGAGAAACACGTGTTAAGAAGAAACGCTTTTTGACAAAAAGAAAACTACGAAAATCCGTTTTTAAATTATTGCGAAAAAATCCAAGAAGAAACGTTTTATCAAAGGACGTTTCTTCTTGGATTTTTCGCAATAATTTTAAAAACGGATTTTCGTAGTTTTTTTTTCCCCTGAAAATAACTAATCCATGAATTAATTTACTTGCGCCAAAAAATATTTTCTTTTCCTTTAGAGTTTAACCACTTGCGCTAAGACTAAACTTCACGGTGCGGTGCCGTGCGCTACAATATAACAAGCCGTAAAGTGTCTTATTTACGCCGTTCCTCATCTGCGAGTGCAATCCAGAGCTGTAACTCGAGAAATAAACAATCTCATTGTTAGGCGTCGTGTGCACCACGTTATTTTCATTTTTGCGATAAATGCTTATCGACGTGGTGTTCACGTCGCTCGCGGTTCGAGACAAAAGCATCTTGACATGCGTGGCACGTCTTTTTAAGCGCAAGTGGTTAAAGAAATTTTAAACGATATTCATTTTATGAACTCTTGATAACGTGACCTTCGAACTTCGACACCGGTTTCGAGCTTTGGCAACAGATATATCAGACATGCACAGCTGTTTTCCCTCTATGATGGAACGGAGCCACAGCCACGTCTGCTTGCAGAGAGGTTTTCCTTCTTACAATACATATTCTTTGATTCTAACCTCCATGGTACCGTATACTAGGATTAAACCCATTTTGTTTTATACGAGAATAGGTACTTTCTTTAGTTCATGCATTGCACATGCGATTCTCGAGAATATTGGAAACCAAAAGTTGCGGGAAAGTTGATTTGCCTTTCTAAAAGACAATCAAATTGGAGCTGCGAAAATTGGCTCTATGCCAGCTACCCGAATGACACTCACGTGATACATAATTCGCCAAAAAAGTTACCTCTTCCGACGACTTTTCCAGATTTTGACAAAAATAGTTAAATTCCCTGACTTTTCCCTGAATATTTTGGTCAATTTTCGAATTCCCTGACTTTTCCCGGTTCTCCAGGTTTTCCAGGTAGCGTGGCAACTCTGTCAATCAGAAGCTGGTCAATATTTAATGGTAAAGCAGCTGCAGCTTTTTCTGCTACCAAATTAATTAAGTGGCATGGGCATCCAATAACAATTAATTCATTTTGTTCTTTTTTGAGGAAAGAGGCTACACCCATTTTGTCATCCACCATGACATGAGCATTATCTGCACCAAATGAAATGCAGTTTGATATTGGGATGTTAAGTTGTTTCAACTCATTAATTACCAAGGAGGCAAAATTTCCCCTCGTAGCATCTCCATTTAACAATGGAAGACTCAAAAGATGAGTTTTCATTACATTAGAAACATCACAGAAATATGTAACAACGATGGGGTAAAGCTTCCAATGAATTCTGGAGTGCAGCTATCATTTTACTTGTGCATCGCAAGCAATTTCGTTCACAATAAAGATGTTTTCGTGCGAGCACAAGCATATTTCTGAGCAATCTTGGAGTCGGGAACATCCGTCTCAAAGTTGACCAGCGTGATCGGCAGTGCTTAGCGGCACGTAGTGTTCGATGAGGAATGCAGTAAACAAACACTCTGCCAAAATGACATCGGCATTCAAATTCGTAGCTGAATTTGAAAAAAAAAAAAAAAAACATCCACTTTCTTTGACGTTGTCGAAGCATTAAATTCATGCTTTGCTTCACAATGTCGCTTCTTCCACCGTGACTTATTATGAGATCACACACGCACACGTTGCAAAATGCATAGTTATTTCTTTGAAGGATTCTTTAATTGTTGGAAATTCGCCTTTGTAGGCAGGCCAAAAATATTGAGAATACAGTTTTTTTAACTCATTTCGTAACAACGACGTATTAAGAAAATTCGCAGCACGTGCAAACAAAAAAAAAAAAAAAAAACAGAATGTGACAATCCATACTCGCCGAGTCCAAGCTAAGTACCCTTGCTGCTGAAGCGAACGCGAAAAAATAATCTGGTGCCCACAAAGAAAAGAGTGGGAGAAACAAGTTCAGCGCATTGGATAGCCTGGTTAAGCGGCGAGTTGGGAGAAACCGCAGGTTACTGGATTCGAAGTAGTCGGTAGTTGGCGGTAAAACATGATGCAATTGGCAAAAAATCGCTGAATTGGCGAAAAATTCTAAAATTTCGACAAAAATCACTAAAAACACATGAAAAAGGAAAAAAATCGTACAAAATGGATTACGATCGTAAAATCATAAAGACAAACACATTTTCGTAAAAATTATGAAAAATTCGTAAAAGTTGGCAGGTATGAATATGCCTAACTTAGCTTTCAAAATAGCCATCACATTTGAGCACCTATTCCTTAACTTTTGCATTAAAGGGAAATATCTATCATCTTTTACCTCAAGGATGGCATCAGAAATATTTAATAATACTTTTTGCAAAACATCTACATATCAAGCTCAGGCATGTGATGCAGTTTAAAGATGAACAAAAAGTACTACAAAAGAATGTAAGTATTTATGTAGAGAACATAAATACTTTCATTTGTTTCAATAAGCTTTTATGTTTCCTGTAAAAGATGTTATTAAAAAAGGCCTTTGGAAGTTAAATACATAGTTTAAAATACATTCAAATCATCAAAAAATGGCATCTGCAAAAATATGCATTTAATTCTTCATTTATAATCTACAGTACTTACTCCTCAGTTTTTCCACGGTCCCATTCTCTTTCATGAACTTTAGTTTCAGTTACTGCCACATTATCAGTTACACATTTCTCTTTTTTTTGACAGACCTACCATATATATATATATATATATATATATATTTGTAAGTATTAACGTCAACTTCAGATTAAAAAAAAAGTTCAAATTTTCATGAAAAATAATTAAAAGTATATGCATGAAAGTGCAAGTTGGCAAAAAAAGCTGAACAATGCGCGGGCACAAAAACTAATTGCGCGCGACCTAAATAAAACACATTTTAACATTCATTAGTAAAAAACAAATAGCTGAAAACAAAAAACTTATTTTACACTACAATGAAGTCTGCAATATCATTAGTTTAAAATAACATATAGCTGACTATCATAGCAGTATTTATTCAAAAAAGGAGGGAGGGATAATGCACTGTATCTGGACTCTATTCTTGCTGATTTGAGATAAACAATATCAGTGTCTTCTTGGATAAATCATTAAACAAGCCTTCAAAAGGTTGTTAACTAGCTGATTTTGCACCAGAATAATTTTCGAATTCAAACATGTATATATAATTTTAAATATCCTTTAAGAATACTTTTAATCGTGATTTGTTTGACAGAACAAGATCATCCTTCATCTGAAACAATCATAATGATGCAAAATGCATTGAATTAAAAAAAAATTAAAGGAACTCACTTGATCAAAACAGCAAATGATAAAAACTTTCTGCTTACAGTAGTTTAATGGTAAGTAATAAAGTCGTTAAATATTTCCAAGCGGGAAAGGTTGCCAGCAAATAAAAAATGCATACTTAAAACAGAAAAAGAAAAAAAAAAGTAATCAAGTAAAATGCAAATGAAAAATTTTTAAAAATGAGCCGTAACAGAAAAACAGAATTAAAATCACATATATCACTATTAAACTATTCTTCACGGTTCGTACACATTTCCTTATATGAAAATTAAGGACTTTTAAGGACCATCAAAGAAAAAATTAAGGACCTATCAGGAAACAAAAAAATGAATAGAATAAAGCAATTATCCATACAACCGACTTCATGCTTGTAATTTCACTTTAAAAAACTAACAGAAGTGTGTATTATGCACTATTATTAAATTCAACTTAATACTTACCATAAAACAATTTTGAAAATTAAACTAACTCCCTACAAGTTATGAAGTAGATAACATTAAATGAGGAACATAATTTCTTGAAAAACATGTATAAGTGTATTTTACACTAATAACAGTCACTATTTTAGAGATTTACATGATTATTATTTAACTTATTTGATATTTATTTAAACATAGTCAACTACTATTATAATCACAATGTAAGAATATTTTGCAGATTAAAATAACTGATTTGTAAACATACAATTTATTTCCTTGGTTTTTTGAAAGATACTAGAATAATAAACTGTACAATAAAAGATACAAAACATTTGTGCTTTTTTTAAATCTGAAATCTTCCTTTTCTTTAACTATTCTTCTAAGTTCATTTGCTTTGATAAACAAATCAATGTTCCTGATGGTCTCAGCTTTATCTGCTAAAGCATCTACTTCTTCATTAATGTCTTTAATGTCCCTTTGAGGAAAGTTTTTCTTCTGCTTCATATAATCAATTTCTTCTTCAATAATATTTCTTTTCCTCTTTGAATTTTCAGATTTAGTTAAAGATTTTTGTTCTTCTAAATACTGAACTTCTAAATAACGAACTCCACTTCTTGCAGAAGCTGCTGCTGATCTCATTTCTTTATTAATTTCGATATTAAGAACACCTCCAGAAAATTTTATGTAATCAAATACTGTGCGTTGAAAAATGTATGATGAGTCACTTAAATTTTCAAATTCAATTGCTTTATTTACAGAGAAGCCCCTTTCCACAGAGGCCTGTTCATGTGACAAGATAAGAATACTTGTCACAGTGAATACTTGAATAGTGAAAATATACATTTTTTACTATATATATATAATTTATTTCCTAAACAATATAGATTAATTGATTATATTATCTCCTAAGTTTAATTAAAGTAGAATTATTTTAAAAGAGTGAATCCATACTGGTAAGTTATATTTTGAAAGATGTATATATATATATATATAAAGTCCGAGATCCGGACATCTAATATCTGGAATGATCTAAAATCTGGACCTCAAAGCCACCACCAACCAATTGCGCATTAGATTTTTTCCCTCATCATAAAAAAAATGCCAGAAATCCGATTCTTAATCTTAGTTTGGTGCTAAATAAAATATCTCATTATTGAAGAAATAATTATTTTAGCATAAATTTGTGTGATTAGTAACTTGACTCCATAGCTGCGTATCTGCTTGGCATAATCTCAAACCGAAACATTTGTTAATTTTACACCAACTAATATTTTATATCCTTGATGCCGAAATCGCGAATCATTATTTATTGTATTTTGCTTTCATCACCGCATGTTTATCAACGAATGACAAACTTGAGTGATGAATCATGCAGCGATGCCAAATAACAGAGTATTATACGATTACAGATTTAAATTTAATGCGCTAAAATGTTGACAAGGGGAGATTTAGCAGAAATTTCTTTCCTTATGCTAAAAATAGATTTTGTTAATGATACTCATAGGACAAACGATTATATTTAGTGCTATTTGAATTAAGAATAACTGATTTGTTATTCACATAAAGCCAGAACCAGCTCCAGAGCTCGCATGGCCGCACCAGGCGGCAGAATTTAGCGAAGTTAAACAGAAGTTTTTCATTGCAATGACAATGCCCAATCATCAATCAATTAACGGAGGGCGGAATCTGTAGTATGGTTCTAAATCCAGAAAATACAGCTACCGATAGTGAAGAAAGTAACAGAGAGGTTACTGAACGAGAAAAAATTTTGATTGACAAGTTATTCGGAATTCTCGACACAGCAATTACAGGACTTGAACAATGGAACTTAATAACTGAACAAGAAATTATATGTCTATAGTATTAGTCTAAAGTATTAGCAGAGAAAACAAATCAAACAACTCACATTGAAAGAAATGTTTATTAAAGTAAACATATAAATATTAAGCTCTTTTCTTTGGTAAATTTTGATACCCTTTAAATCATAAATGCTTCATTATTTCATAAATCACGATTTCATATTTTATTTTAATTTCTACGTGCCATCTTAGTAGATTTAAAATGATCTAATATCCGGAAAAATCTCAAATCTAGGATCGCCGAAGTCCCGACGAGTCCAGACCTCGGACTTTGTACACTGTATAAATATATATATATATATATATATACGGAATGTATATTTTCAGTTAAACTTCTACCCAATAACTTTAGTAATTCATGAAAGTTAATTTTGCGTCTAGTTAATTCAGGAAAATTAGTTTCAATTAGTTGTTTTCAGCTTTAAAAATATTTAAAAAATTTTAATTAGTTATTTTCAACTAATAATTGTATCGCCATTAGCAAAAATTATGCATTACTATCAAAAACATAGGTTTAAACCAAATACTTAATTGTCTATTGAAGCTTCAAAATGTATTTCCGAACTTCACTTTTTCTCAGCTAGCGTTACCGATTTTGCCCTTGGCGACCTAAAATCGAAATGGAGCCAACAGATTTCCCGCGAAATCGATAACAGACCCTCTGCAGAAATAAACTCATAATCCCGATATCCCATACATATAGTATGTGCAAAAGAGAATAAACTCCGTAGAAGGTGATAAAAAATTAATTTATGGCTTAATTGAAACAAACACAGAAAGAAATTAAGCTAAGCAAAACCGTGTAAAAACAAATTGAAATGATAAAACGAAACTTAATTTTAATGTGAATTTTCAGTGCTGACTCTCCCATTCTAGAAATTTCAATTTGTTTCAGACAAAGACCACATTTAAGGATTGCCATCCATCAATATCCAGTCTTTGTAGTCAGCTTGATGAAGCCACAGTTTATTGAAAATGCACTTTCCAGGCATCTCGTTCCTATTGGCGTCGGAAGGGTTGTGGCCTTCCAGGTTGGAATTGCTCTAGTTTTGGCAAATATTTTCAGAATCTCCCCCCTCCCCTTTTTTTTTCTCGAGCACCTTCATCATCACTTTCGCCTCTTAAAGAACTTCCAGCTTCACGCTTTCGTCACAGTCTGCCTAAATTTATGGATAACACCTGTTTCGAAAGATTGCGTGAATAGCCAATCAGACACCGATACTTTCGTTCGGGTAGCTAATTGTTTTTTTTTAATCGTTTGCAATGCAAATCCGCCAACAGATTAGTTAAGAGCTGTGTAATTTTAATTCCATATTCATGAGAAATCGTAATTCACACTTAGAATGGCAATCATTAGAAATAATAAGAAATGTCAAATGAGCAAAATTAAGGACGTTTATTTTTTGGCCAAACTTTAAGGACCAAATAAAGGACCCGTACAAACCCTGTTTCTCGGTTTTCGAAAGAAAGAAGGTTGAGCTTAGCTTAGAGTAAGATTTTTAATCTGCCTGTTTCACTGATAAGAGTGACCATTGGGGTGATATTAGGTCTGCCAGTTCGGCTGTCTTTCAGGTGTTTATTTGGCGGAGTTTTTGGCAATGCGAGAACTAGTTGTTGAATCAACGCTTTGAAAAGTGAGAAACTTTTGCAGTGCGTAAGGCAGTGGGTGTAAAAACAAGTTTTTTTCACAAATTCTGGCATGAGTGGGGAAATGTGGCAGACTTTCATATCTAAAAGGAAATGTTTTCTGGAAATTCACTCTTTTCACATTTGTCTCTTGGATAAGGTATATGCTGTCCCGCTTAGCTTCAGCTTTGGGAAGCTGAAATGAGACTTCCCGATATTACTAAGGCTTCTTTGCTCGTTAAACTCTGTCAGGAGGTTTCATCTTGTTTTGCCATGAAAATTTAACAGTTTCAACCTGAGGTTCTCACCTGTTGAGGATACGGCATTAGTCTTATATTAAAAATGTACTTCTACAGTGGCTTACTTCACATTTCAACAACAACGAATTATGTTAATCTTTAGAAATTCTGCTTCACCTTTAACAACCAATCATAGTCAGAGAATGCTTGCCTTTAACATCGGACGACTGCATCGAACATCTAAGTTTATCGAATAAATAGAACAATTTTAGCGAAGGCCTCATCATTTCTTAACCAGCTGCAGATTCATCATTCCATCTATCATGGAGACCATCGGAAGTTCACCTTCTTTTTACCATCAGTTCCAGTGAAGTAGGAGGTTAGAGGCTCTGTAGAAATCAATTCCATATGATGATTAATCTCTATGTTCCCGCAGAAGCGAACTTGTTTCTAGTCTTCAGATGCAGTGAAATGTTCCGATTTCCATACATTTCAAGATTATTTGTTTTTTTTATGCTCTTCTTAAACCTGTCTTGCAGCTAAAATCACTAGGAAACAAAAGGGCATTGTTAAATTGGAAGACGTGAAGAATGCCAACATGAGTAAAAAATCGAAAAAAGGTGAGCTAAAAAAATCTGGATATGTCAACACATATCCAGATATCAATATCTCAACACTGAAAACCATAACTTCTGACAGATTAAAAATAAAAAGAACAGGAGACTACAGAGATCAACTTCAAGAACGTTTATGAGATGTTCCAGTGAATATGTCCAAGATAATTAAGAAGGGAAAAAATAGGACTGGAAAGGTATTTTCTCAGCTGGATGCTGACGTAAATTTAAATTGTGCTATGGATTCTCACATCACGCCAGAAGTGGAGAATCCAAAGATCGAACTGAATCCTTTAATGTTGATGAATCTCGTCTCTTTATCATTTCAATCCTCCAAGAAACTTGGCCCTTAAAGAATGGTGCAAGGTAGTGAAGAAAGTAAAAGATTACCTTACTATTTTTACTCGGTGCAAATGCCGATTTCTTAATTTTATTTTTTTGCCTTTATATCAATAGCACAGCTATTAGTTAACTGAAAAGCATTCAAGCCCATCCAATCAACAAAGAGCTACATGGCTTGATGTCAATGGTTGACCAGCACAATTTTCATGAACAGAGAGCATTACCTGACCCCTCCAAAAAATAGACTTAAACATATAAAATTACTAACTTTCATTTTCAATTTTCCTTTAACTCCCACTTTTTAATACAGTTGTTTCTCCATCCTGTCCTAAAAAACAGCAACTGCTTATAATAAATGTCTCTAAATTGCATCATTTCAAAATTAATCCTCCTCACAACAGTTGTACAATGCTCATGACACAGACACTTGAATAATGCTTCAACAAATAGTAGTATAATTTGTGAATTGAAATGCTAATTAGCAAATCAAAATGTAGCTGAATCAAAACTTAATCTCTTCAGACCTTCAAAGTATAATCTTCACATTTATCTGTTCTGTCTTTAAGGTTGCTACCAGCGGCTCTCTCTATATAAAAGATATCAGTGTAATTAACAATTCAAGAATGAGATGATATCTTGTGCCAGCTTATTGTGCATGTCTCCACTAGAAATGTTTTGTGAATTATTCAACTGGCTAATGACTACTGCACCATCTTCACACATTTTCAACATAAACTTTTAAATTATTGGTTTAATTTATATTCCCTATCATTAGCAACTAAATTATTTCATTTGCTTTAGATGCTGATGATATTTTTCTATATATAAGACATACATAAAAGACTTACACTTGCACAACTAGTAACAGACGAGTTCTTTGCTTCTGCTTTGATACGATCTTCTTCTACTTCCTAAAAAAATTAGAGCAGATTTTTCATATTTCAATTTAGAAAATTAACAATTAGAATGGTTATCTAAAAAAAGCACTGTAACTAAAAGTTCAGCCACTATTTAAAGATGATAAAATTACAATGATAAATACCTTGACGGTACACACGGAGGAAAAAAACAGTTTCTGATAATCATTTAGTTCAATATGAATGACAAAATTTAAGTAAACATGAATAACACAAGTCTCCAAGATATCACAAAATGTGATTATAAAATAAGTACTAACTTCGGAAATATATTTCATTCCTTTCTATCAAATAAGAACTGAATGTGCTTAGTCAGTGATGACTTTTTACGTATTGGGGGTGAGGATGCTGATGCCACTGTCACACAGGTTTTCTTGTGTTTAGTACGTGTTCTAGGCCCTTTGACAAATGCTAATTACATCAACATCTTTTTGCCCACCAGTGGCTAAGCAGCTTGAGCTATTGAACACGAATTTCATTCCAGGTTCTAAAAAGTCTTCACAAAAAGACTGCCTATATGGAATTTTCTTCTTGCATGACATGAATATCAACTGGTTTCATTAAAAGTACTCTGCAAAATCATTACTCCCTGACAGATAGCCCCACTTGCTTAATTAAATTCAACTAACAAATGCCAATACTAAATAATTTTGTCAAAAATTATGAAATTTAATTTTTTATATGGTTCCTAAGTTAGTAAACGTTTAGACTCACTACAAAAAATAAAACATAAAAAGGTCCAACTCTCATAAAATAATAATTAACCCAAAAGTTTCAATTTTGAAGTTTGACGTTATGTTCAGAGTTCACACACAAATTGAAGGGAAAAAAATGTTTACAATTGTTTATGCAATTAAAAATTAACCCCTTACTCGTTGCACCCGTTTTCATACAAGCTCTACTTCTGCAATAAAAAGTGAAGGTAATTCCAATTTTTATTGTACTTGTATCAATTTTATTTACACAGACGGCTCACGGATGGCAGCACAATACTTATAAGGTGATTAGATAACAATAGTATGTAGATTAAGAATATTTTTTCCATTAGAACATATTTCGAAAGAAAGGCACAGGTTTCAGTGCTCATCACTTTTTTTGTGTTTAATGTTTGTAAAATGAGTAGTTCAAATGAACAAATGGATTTAAGTCTTGACGAATCGGGAAGTCATTCAGAAGGCAGCTTTTTTCCAGATGCTTTTGATTCTGAATATAGTGACAATCTTGCGCAACTTTTACCATGGTGCCAATGGAATCAAATTATGCCGGATGTAACAGATACTTGGCCTACATGTTTTCAGTTCAAATTGTTGCTTAAAGCTAATATTTCATTTCAAGCCAGTGCAGGCATTTTACAATATTATGAGCATTTTATAAATGATGAAATAGTGGATATAGTTGTAAAGAGAAATAGTGGATATAATTGTAATTGTTATGCTGAGCAATCAGGTAATGTTGTTGGGAAAAGGAAACTAAAAGGTAGAAGAGAATGGAAACCCATATCGGCACATGAAATGCATTTGTTCCTTGCACTTTCAGTTTTACAAGGTATAAAAAAAATTGAAGAAAACGTGTTGAACTAAGAAGACATCAGTAGCAATCCTTTTCTCCTTAAGATTATGTCATATAATCGATACTGTGAGATGAAAAAAATACTGGCATTTTGTGAACAATGATTCTTATGATCCAGAAAATCATGCTAACCTGAAACTCTACAAAATTTGGCCTATCTGTGAGCATCTAAATAAAGTATATATATTAAAAAAAAATTACTCCAGAAAGAGATATTACCATAGATGAAATGCTGATGCTGTACAAAGGACATTTATCCTAGCGCCAATATATATCCTTGAAAAAAGTAAAATTAGGTATCAAAACATACATGCTAAGCGAATCTAGTTCTGGCTATTATATGGTCATTTATTATATAGAGAGGGAAAGGTACTTTGTTTCATCCTAAATTCCAATATCTCTGAGTATCTTCACAAGTTGTTATGATGGCATTATTGAAACAACTACTGCATCACCCTAGATCATTATTATACTTCGCCAGGATTATGTGATATTTATTTGACTTATCAAACAGATGTGGTTGGAACTGTTGGACAAAACAAAAAGGATTTACCTTTAGCATTGAAAAATAAAAAATTAAAAACTGATGCAGTTATATAATTTAGAAGTAGCAAAATCCTTTCTCTCAAATGGAAGGACAAAAAGGAAGTAACATTATCATCTTTTCAAGATTCTGAAACTGTTGATATAAAGTAAAAAACTGAAGTCAAAACCAAATGTAGTATTTGACTACAATAAAATAATGGGAGGTGTGGATCTTGTAGATCAATACCTTTTTAGTTATCAAGTAGCAAGAAACGGTGGGGAAAATATTCTTTCACCTTTTAGACCAAGCCGTTTTCAACACTTTTCAAGTTTATTAAATAGGAAGGAGCAAAAAAGTTTTAGACTGGATTTAACCACGGAAATAATTGCCAAATATCATACTTTTATCAATTTTTCAAGACAAGGTCCATCGAGTGAAGCACCATCCAATCGTTTATTTCAACATTTTTGAAGCCTATACCACCTACATAGAAAAAAAAGAAAACCCTTCCAGAGAGTGTAAAGTGTGTTCATCAAAGAAGAATGCAAATGGAAAACGAATAAGAAGAGAATAAGGAGAGAAACAAGGTATTATTGTAAAGATTGCAATGTATACCATATTTCAAACTTTACCATACCCAGAAAAATTATTAAATTTTCAAAAAAATATTACAGCTGTCATTGATGTTGAATAAAAGCATCACCCTCTTTCAGATAACAGTGTGTGTTATTTAAACATATGTGAGTTTTCTCTCTCCAAAATTTACATGCAATCCTAAAAAGGCCTGTATTTAAGCTTTTCTGCCTAGCTGGAATGTAAGTCAAATATAAAGTAAAACAAGGTAAGTTAATAAAAAAAAAATACATTTTTTAAAAAACTGTTCAATTTACTGAGAAATATAGTGTTTATTATATGAATTTATTTTAAATTTCATAAGCATTAAAAAATTAATAATTTTTGAATAAATTCTATCAAAATTTTGCTAAGAGTAAGGGGTTAAATAACAGGAAAAGGTTCCTGTCGTAAGTAGATTACGTGACAAGCATTGCTATGCAGACTGTCATGAAAAGTACTGATGAATATAATTTTTTCCCAAAAGCAAACTTGAATATTGGTACATAGTCAACTTGAAACACAATTTGCATAAATTAAAAATGAAAACATATCTTTAATTCAAATTCTTTCAATGAAGATTATATCATGATTCTATAGAAATAAAACTTCATAAAAAAATAATATATTTGTTATGTTAGAATGACAAATTACTTGTGTGAAAATTATTTTGCTTTACCAAATGTAACAAAATTACAAGTCTATCACTGAATAACATTCAAGAAGAGAAATCAAAATCAATCTTAAATTATTCTAACTTATTTTTTATAAACTTCTCAAGTTATGAAATTAAATATCTCAGTCAACTTTTGTCACATGAGAATCAATTTTTTTATGTTATATTCCTTATAATAAGTATAAACTGTGACTAAATATAACTGCAAGGTTAACTAAAAGTCACATTTTGCAATTTTTACAAAATGGTCTTTTAATTTAAAAATGACACAACATGAATACTTGTGTTACTTAAAGCATTTCTGTGACTGGAAGTATATGTCTACAAGCAGCAGTTCTGAAAATACAGGCTATATAAGAACCTTGGTGCACATACTACATGAGAACAAATCTCATAAAAGTAGTCAGCTCAGAGAGCTAAGATTCAGACGTGTACCTACAGGTTAAACAATCTCATAAAAGTTCTCAGCTCAAAGAGCTACGATTTGCATCCACCTTATATAGGCAAGCTCATTAAACTGGAAAAGTGAAAAAAAAATTACTGAACCAAATCCTTAAATCTTAGAAATTACTGATTAAAATGTCTATTATTGAAAGAGATGGCTAGAAGCAATAAAACTGGCTAACAGCACACATGATCTTGATCCTGACCATTTAGCTACTCATCCCTGGGTCTGCTTATTGCTAGGCATTCTATTAGATAAACTTCAGGGTGGGACACAAAAAACTGACCTACATGGGTACACAGACCAGATGCTAACTTAAATTGCCTGCGTTGTTGTTGCAAATATTGTCTACAATTCAACTGCCAGAACAAAAGCCATAAATATGCAGGAACAAAAATCTAGTGAAAATGCTCAGTGAAATGTATTCTCTTCACACAATAGTGCAGATTTGTAGTACACTAGACCAAATCAATCACAACAGTGGAGGCTTTCAGCTGGCAGATGGAATGGTTTTACTTGCACTACCCTAGTTCATTGTATATGCCTATCAGTACGTTCATACGTTTGAATTACTTGCCTCACACCAGTTTTCACATTTTTCTTGTCTTCTAAATTCAGCCATTATAACAGTATAAAGTCCAGTCCAGAATGATCTAATAAATGGACCTAAGGACCATCAAGTAGCAAGAAAAATTCCTGTTTCTACATACAAAGTCTGCAAATAGAGACTACTAAAAAAAGACAGCAGATGTGCTGTAAATGTGATTCAGATGACATTAATTTCAGCATCGCTTTTACATCCTACATTCATGTAACATGGATTTTCTTTATCCCAAATCCAGAGGTAAATGTAACAGTTTATTCCTGAAATCAAAATAATTCAAGAATTAAAAATAATTTCTGATACAGTTTTTAAAAATATGAATAAAAGTAACTCACACGATGTCGTTGTTTAATCTTTTCATTCATTAGTTTCATTTTTTCCATGCGCTCTTTGGCAAACTCCTCTTTTTTCTCACGGGGCCATTCAGAGAAAGGCTATCAAAATAAAGCTACTTATAAAAACTGCAAGTCAAAATTAAAGGATATTGACACCAATAAAATCTTCACAATTGTTCACAGAAAAATGAAAACAATTTACACAAACGCATTACTAAACATAATTTGGCACTTTTGTTTTAACGCCACTGCAGCTGCAGATTAGGTGGTTTTTAAGTGCCGCCAATCTACACCTAAAATTTTTGCAACAAATCATAAAATAAAATACTTTATTTAAAATCAATGTAGTCAATTGGATTTCGGTGGAAAATGGGCCAATATAGAGATCACCATAGATTTAAAACAGTCTATTTTCTTTGACCTTATGCTGTCGCCATATGAACTCTGTTAAATAAGACTCTAAATGATGTCTCGCTGTCCCCCTACATCTCGTTTCTCCATTTACCACTGCCCCACATTCTCTCAACTGTTTGTGTATGAACTCTTGTATAGTTCGACCGCCTCATCCGCGACCATGAGCGCAAACATAAACGCACCATTCGGACCGAATTATTCTCAAAATAGGGTGGAAGGATGGGGACTTTCTTTCCCTCCAGCCACTGGAAAGATTTCCGCTTTCCTGAGAACAGAAGACCTTTTATGTCACAGCAAGTAATATCGCCCCTTTTGGACGAGCCTATGTGTTTCGGCAGAATGCCAACCAGAGTTGCGATTGAGACGGTCAAACTATATCAGGATCAATAAAATTGTATTTATGATTACCTTTAGCATGTGGGAATCCTTTTTTTCTATTCTATTTGTTTGGTAACCTTTCCAAATGTCAGAATAAACTGTGCTACCATCTGCAATGTTTTCAATAATTTTATTAAGGAGGGTAAAGTCAGTTCTATTAGGAACAGTGACAACAAAAAAATCTTTTGTTTCTTTACATATACCACCAAACACCTGCCGTTCAGGTAATACTTGACCACAATTATTTTTATGCTAAGTAAACAAACTTTCATTAATTTCCACAATGCAATCTGGTCCACCTACCTTCTTGTTTGGTTTATTCTCCATATCAAAGACACATAATTCACACACGTAATTGTTCCAATCTATAACAGTTTTATCCAATAAATCAAGTTGCTTTTCACAAAATTTAATCAACGTCAACTCCTCACACCAGCAGTATATGAATCTCAAAGCTGAATAAAATGGAATCCTGCTTCATTCAAGCCAGTTGTCTTTTCTAAAACCCACTTGCTGATCACATTGCCTTAAATTACATTTCCAAAACATATGTTTACCAAAATAAAGTTTCATATCATGCGAATTGGTACATTTTCATTTTTTAGTAAAATATTTCGCCACTGAAAAAATAAAATTCCATCTTCCGTTTTTGGCAAATCTCAAAGACGCATTTTCATAGCACTAAAAAATGGCGTCAAAAATCAGCAAACAACAAGGCAAAACGGAATCCGAAGGATAACTGCACGCGAACAACAGGATTGCTCTTTATTGGCGCATTAGCTTAACTTCTGCTGTGGTGGCGTTAATATGTAAGTACCTATAAATTACTATATTTGCCAACTAAAAGTCAAATTTATGGAAATTTTAAAAAGATGAAAAATTAACTCTATTGTTTTCCAACAAATCTTTCTTTAATAAGATGTCTTGTCACCTCTTACAGAAATATAAATCCTATGATTTCATACGAATCATTAAACTGTCAATTCTTGTAGAAATTTACACCACTTTTCAGATAGTAGAGTATCTAGACAAGCATTTAGTTCATGCCTATCCAGCAGTTTAATGTACCTCACATGTTTAATTGTGTAAATCTGGCAAGTTGACCTATCCATTGAAGTGATAATTTTGGTTTCCGAATATTCTGATACTACTACAGATGTTCAATAAGAATGAGCATTGCTACCCATTAGCAAAAAAAATCCAAAATCAGAGATCATCTAAACAGCCTTGCATGCAGTTCCACTACCTTGTCCATAGAGGGTTGGAACTTTAATAGTGGCAACACAGCTGAAAAAAAACTATGCAACAAAACCAAAGAATATTGCGTATACCATACATAAACTACATACCTAACTTACCTCTCAGCAAAAAGACTCGTCCTGCCTACGTCACGCGCATGCAGAGTGATGCGAAGAACGAATCCTTGTATTAACTCGCGGTATAAAGTAAGTGTTGTCAGGATGTTTTCAAAACAAGAACAATGATGTTGGATAAAATTGAATGTGCCAGAGGTCGTACAGCACGACAGTGTCATCAAGGGCTTCAAGAGGCTTGCGGGGAATCTGCATTGCCTTACAGAACAGTAGCAGGATGGGTGAAAGCATTCAATAAAGGACGCCAAAACGTGGCAGACATGCTGTGGCCAGGTCGTCCGAGTGTCAGCGATACAGACGTGCAAGCTGTTGCCGCACTAATGGACAGTGATCGCCGCCAAACGATTCGTCAGCTGGCCAGACAAACAGGATTAGCACATACGACTGCGCTGCACATTCTGAAGGAACGCCTGTCTATGAGAAAAATTGCTTCACGATGGGTTCCACATCAATTGACAGAAATGCAGAAATGGCTACGATACGATGCTGCCTGAACCCACCTGTAGCGCTATGAGCGTGAAGGAGATGCTTTTTTACGCCGTATCATTACGCTGGATGAGACTTGGGCCCGGTCGTACCAGCCAGAACTGAAACGCCAATCAAACGAATGGCGTCATCACGGGTCACCACGACGTTCGAAATTTTGTCAGAACCCCAGCAATGTGAAAGTTATTCTCGTGTATGACTGTGATGGTGTTATCCTAACACATACTGTCACTGCACAGTATTACTGCTCATTTTTGGAGCACAATCTCAGACCAGCTTTGAGAAAAAAACGACGACACTTTCTGCAGAACGCTCCTCTCATTTTGCATGACAATGCTCGGCCGCATGCAGCACAAGCTGTGACTGATTTGTTCAATCGATGGGGCTGGGAAATGCTTTACAAAGCACCATACTTCCCAGATCTAAGCCCTTGTGACTAAATTCCTAAGATGAAGGAACCACTTCGTGGCATTCGCTTCCAAACTGTTCCTGAGATTCTTGCGGCAGTAGACCGGTCCATTCAAACTATCAACAAAACAGGCACTGCTACAGGTATTCTGCAACTATATTGAAAGACTGTAAAACATGGTGACATGAATCACTTTTGCATTCCTTGTAAATAAATAGTTGCCACTATTAAAGTTCCAACCCTCGTGTATATATATATATATATATATATATATATATGACTGGTAATAGAATCTCCTTCAAAGATCAATTTGATGTAGCCATTTATTTAATATATATTTACTGATTAAACATTGCTTGAACTTTCATACAAAATTCTACAAATGTCTAGAGCAGATTAGGATGCAGCCATTATTTAATATGCATTTACTGATTAAACATTGGTTGAACATTCATACAAAATTCTACAAATGTCCAGAGCAGATTAGGACAATTCATAATCAAAAGAAATTGAAAAGAAAAAATTATGCTAAATGAAATTTGCACAATTTTAGTTTCATTAATTCAATAAATTTCATTTCCAGCTGAAAATAACTTTTTCTAACCCTTTCAGTCTTAACTGGCACATATATCACAGAGATAAGATTTCATTCCGTATTGGGTAATTAAAACCCACTTTTAGATGGGGTTTTACACTTGCAGTGTTTTTAAGGAATTAGGGAACAAATACAAAGAAACCTGGCCTATTTTCCAAATGTGTCAGGTTGCACTTTGTGAAAACTGCTTTACACCATGTTATACTTAACTTGCACCGTAAGAATAAAATATTCAGTGCATTTCATTTAACTTTATTATTTATTCACATGCAGTGGTAAGGCTATTATCACAATGTCTTAGATCACTGGGATAAATAGTCTCAGAGTACAATACAACTGGATACACTGTCCGACGAGATTTCCAGGAAACTGGAAGTTGAAAAGTAGGAAATTTTATTCTACATTTAAGAAGGTTTAAGTCATTTACTAGAGTAAATAAACAATTCTTCAATCATATAATTAAAGGTCATATCACACATTCAAAATATTTCAGAAGAACAACTCTTCAGAAAAATTGTTCTACTTTATCTCATGATATGAAACAGCCAATCACCATGGATCATTTTGAGTTACCATGAAAAGGGGAAACTAGTTCCCCAATACAAATGATGATTGATGACAAAGAATTCAATGCTGATAGTTGATTGGTTGCTGAAAATGAACAACTTACATCTTTTTTTTTTCGAATGAAAGGGGGGGGGAAGTGCATCTTTCTTTCAGTGGCAAAGAAGGTAGAAATATTATCTAAACAGTTGTTTGTCTGAAATAAATGGATGTGTGATAACAGCCTAAAACTGTATATTACTTAAAACTAGTGTATAAAGAATTCATGACAAAGGAGCAAATGAATAACATACTGTTGAAGACATCCTTTTTCACTGCGTGTGCTTTTCAGTGATCCACTTAAAAAGAAGTCACTACAGATATATTCTTCACTAGGACTGCTCTACTTCAAAATTTAGTTTCACTGGAAATGTACTGTTTGATTACTCCTGCAAATATATCAAGATAAAAGTTATTAAAACAGGAAAAAATAAAAGTAAGAAAAAACTTAAGGCATGCAAAACATTCATATGCACAGAATACTGCAAAATTAATTACCAATTTTCATTATTTATTAACTTAATATTTTTTCATAAAATAACTGTGTGTGAAACTTTCTGACACTAATTTATCTTTCAAGGTCACATAACTTCCATCATATAAGTCAATATCTAAACTCAAAATAGACAAACTGTACATTTCACAAATTCTAATCAATCACTTGAGAAAATCAACAGTACAAGACTAACATAATTTTTAGACCAATTAACCTTTAAATGTACACACTTTTATTTTAATAGAAGGGGGGGGGGAACTGACAAATTTTTAAATGCTAGATCACCAAAAAATTGTAAGAAATACAAAATCATATTTTTGGCTCACTTTGAGACACAAACTAGCTCTAAGGTAATATGCAATATTTAGCACTGGAAATTGCCAGTATTCCTAGAACAACAAATAAATAATTTTTGCTTTCAAATAACATTAGGTATTTTTGTGTCATAGCTTTTAATGAGACAAAAAAAAAAAAGTTCATCTTCATGATTGTTGATAGCCGATTAAAAATTAAACCTAATTAACACACACCTTAGGCAAGCTGCCTAACTATTCCAGTCAACAACTGTTTTGTATATTTTTAACCGTTTCTTAGACCATTCTTACCTTTGCGTGCCACAAAGGGTTAAATGGTGTAAGAAAACACCTAAAAATTGGTTGGTGTTTGCACATCTCACCTAAAAATTTCCTTCTGTACACACAGGAAAAAAATTCAATGAAAAAGGATTTATAGGTTACTCTGAACCTTCTTTATTTATACGAGATGGCAGCACAACACAAACCAGTCCATATATTTTAGCCATGTTTAGTTTTTAAAGACCCTCATTTTTCAAAGAAATCTTCCATATCTTTTTTTAGAATAGGGCTAAATGGTGTAAGAAACAGTTAAAAATTGGTTGGTGTTTGCACACCTCGCCTAAAAATTTCCTTCTGTAAGCAAAGAAAAAAAAAATCAATGAAAAAGGATTTATAGGTTACTCTGAACCTTCTTTATTTATACTAGATGGCAGCAAAACACAAACCAATCCATATATTTTAGCCATGTTTAGTTTTTAAAGACCCTCATATTTCAAAGAAATCTTCCATATCTTTTTCAGGATATAAAAGGATTTGTTTGAAAAGAAATTTCTATGTTATTTTCTTGACTGTATGCTAATCTCCTCATTCTATATTAGTTTTAAATTTTTACCTTAAAGCCTTGCCTAAAATCGAACGACGAACATCAGATGTACACAGAAAGGGATCACTAAGAGACTAGGACAAGACCAATAACTGTATCTTTGTTTCTCTGCAAATATCCGGTCAGTTCATTGACAATAGAAAGGTGGATGATCCACATGTGTGTTTCATTTCCCGTTTCTCTCCCTCTTTTTTTTTTTTTTTTTTTTTTTTCTTTTCTTTTCTTTTTTGGAGGGGAGGTTTGGTTATCAACTAAGAAACTGTTGGGGTGATTTTCTGAAGGTCAGGGTAATTTTATCAGTTAGCTGTTTGTTTTTTCACTAGAGCAGTTCTTTTTTCTCTTTTGCTTTAGTTCAAAGAAGTTTTGTTAACACTACGTTTGACAGTTTTGAGTTGTAGATGTTAATTTTATTTTATAGTTTATAATTTCTAATTGTAGTCATAATATTAGTTTATTTTTTCGGATTTTTAATTAATTTTCAAATGGATCAGAGAGTGCTGACCATTTCTGAATCACTGAAAGGCTTTACATATTGCTTTCAGATAGCGAATCTAATACAGATCCCCGTACATGTGCAAAACACGTAATACTGGGTTGTGCTTTTTCAATGGTGGTGTCACTTTCTTCACAAAGTACCACCATGAAAAAAATAGACGAAAGTGTAAATATGAAATGTAAATAATATAAATATCATATACCCAAGTTACTTTTTTTCCATTCATACGCATGTAATCATCATATAACCAAAAAGAGCTTTTTTAGGGGGGTGTAGGATAGCAGGCCTTCTTGTGGCACACTCTGGGTAATGCTAAATCTGCTATGGTATTCAGAATCTAGTGTTTTTTAATTGTGAGCAAAATCTCTCTCTTTTATGTGTTTTCCCGCAATGCTTGTTTCAGCACTTTTTCGAAGCTCTATTCATTCAGTGTGCCTGCTTTGGACACACCCACAGATTAAAACGATAAGTGCTATCTTCACAAAATTTTACCTGTATACTCCTCTAGGCCTGATTAGACTGCCTACCTTTTTTTCGGGGGGGGGGTCGAAATTGCAACTTTAAAAGGTAGCATGCCGGAAAGGGTTAAAAGATGGGAGTTTTGTGGAGAAGCTAAAGTGTTTTTAGAAATGGTATTTGGGAAACACAGTGCTTATTTCCAACAAATATGAGCCACTTATTCCTTCATCTTTGAATGATGCATCTTCAAATGCTTACATTTCTGATACATAAATGACTTTGCAATCATTTTCATATATTCAATTAAAAGGTATAAAAAAATTGCGAAGAAATACTATGCATTGCTCCACATAAGCCTGAGACATAACTAGCATAATTTATGCTACATCAGAATACAGGGAACAAAAACTCTTGATGCTATACTACCAGCAACTGAAAAGGTTAAGTTATTCAAATATGGTTCAGCAGATGGCACACAATGGCTATCTGCTTAAGGGACGGCATACATCTGTAGAGGAATTTCTAAAGGAAACTGTCTCATACTCACATTAAACATGAACCAGCAACTGCAGAAAGTGTATACAAGAAATAAGTATATTTGGGGGGGGGTATGTAGTCATTATTTCTACTCCTTAAATTTTCTTTCATGGAAGCAATTACAAGACAAAAGTATCTAATGCAGATTGTGCTAAAAATGTGACAAGCTAAGCATCTGCTGTTTTGAAGCCAAAGTGCTACATTTTGGATTGGATTTTTAGATCATGGCAAAGCATGCGAGCATTTCCTACTTTTATCTGCCTAAAGGAAGGGATGCCTTTGTGGAGAACCTTTTAAAGGGAATCTGTGTACATATTGATATCACACAAGAAGAAAACCATGAAACTCCCATACAGCCAGCAAATTCACCAGAATTTTCACAGCTAGTGGGAAATTACATTTTGGAAATACAATGTAATTTAGTGGTTATTTTTAAAAATATAACAAATTTTCTCTTACATTACAGCATACTATTGTAGCACTATGTTCCCAGGATAGCTGACTTCATTGACAATCACTTTCTGCATTTCTTTTCATTGCCTCGATCAAGGACAACTTTATTTTTGATTTGTATTAAGCAAGATGTTCTTTATTTTTTCTTATCAGAATATGTATAGTTTAAAAATAGGAAGATGATATTCATTTTTTGTCTAAAAGACTGAGTTAGGAAACTTTGGCATGTTTTCAATTAAGTGAAGCAACCTTGTTACTCTTTAAACTAGTGAATTTTGTTGAATATAAATGATTTGAAATTGTTTTTAGGAAATTAAGGTAAAGTAATTGTAAACACAATGGTTTTTGTAAAATATGAGTTAAAACTAAAAGTGTTTTGTGCATGCTGATAAAACAGAAATAAGTGTGCATGTATGAAGGAGAGAAAGTCAAGCTAATAGCAGAATTTAAGTTCAAAACTAGCTTGAGAGTCCATGAAATTTAAAGTTAAGCTCTTCAGCCAATACTAAGTTAATTTTTCACCTTAATTAGCACTACAGGGCTAAGAATTCAATATAGAGTGTATTTCTGAAAGCTGGCACATCAAAATTCTAACACGTAGTCTACTCGATCAGGTAGTAGTGTTGAACATGTTTTACATGAAAACATGCTCTCATTTCAGTACAACTCACTAGACAGCAGAGGAGAGATTTAAGACTTGGAAAGAATATGGTGAATAAAAGTTCCCTCATGTGATGCTAAATGAAAATAAATCCCTTTGTGCAAAACCTTCAAAAAGCTAACTGAATATGTTAAGTGTACTAAACTACACTCTTCTGCAAAAAAATAAATAAATAAATAAAATAAAATAAAAAATTTTTAAAAAATCGAAGCAAAATGAAGGAAGTGGTTGATTTTTATCAAATTGAATATGTGTATAGCTCACACACAGATAATAAAATGATTAAAAAATCAAGGCCATACCACCTGTTCACGAACATCCATTGAGTGTTTAAATTAGTAGTTGGTCGAACCGCCCCTGGCGGCAAAGCATGCTTGAATTCGTCAAGGCAAGGAGTGGTAAAGGTTCCTAATGTCATCCTGCAACACATTCTGCCAGGCATTCATCAGTTTTCACTCCAGATCTGCGATATTTTGTGGTGCCTGAATCTGATGTCCTACCATGTCCCAGAAATGTTCAATTGGTGAAAGGTCTGGTGACCTTGCTGGCCAAGGAAGAGTATCAACCTCACGGAGACAGTCCAGAGAAATGCGAGCGGCATGTGGCCCAGCATTATCTTGTTGGAAAATAGCCCCAGGATGACGTGCCATGAAGGGTAATGCAACTGGCCACAGGATGGTATCAACATATCGATGAGCTAAATGTTAAAAATGTATGGAGCATGACTAAAGACGACCTGCTGTCATAAGAAATAGCAGCCCACACCATCACACCAGGGGTTATGGCTGATTGGGACCGCTGGCCACATCCTTTCCAGATACAAACACGGTGGTTATCTGCTTCAAGAGTAAAGAGGGATTCATCGCTGAACACTATACGATGGCAGCCATGATGATCTAGTGCAACACCACTCCAGATGACTCCCAATGTTATGGGGTCAAAGGCAGTCTTAAAGGCCTCTGTGAAAATAATCCCGCCTCAGACAAGCACTGTGAGATGGTGGACAGTACCATGGGAGGTACAGACGTGGCTGTAGTGCACTGAATAGTCAACAATGATACTGTTGGGGTAGTTTGGGCCTGGCGAACAATTATCCTATCTTGCCTCA